GTTAAAAGTTTCTCCAAAGATACCAACAAGTGTACCTCGACCATGACAGAACACAAAAAGAATGGGAAAAACTGAGAGTATGAAAGTGTCAGAGGCAGGATAGGAGAGCACAGCCTTGGGGTGGGCAACAACAAACACAACCACCCATAGAACCCCCTCAAAAAAAAACCTCAATCCTATCACCCCACACCAACCAAACACAGTATCCAGAAACAAGCCACACTCAGGGCAAGGGAAAACCTGGAGCCACATGGGGGACCACAAATGTGGAGGGCTAAGATGGAGGTGATATTGAAAACCTCATACACCAACACGTTACGGACACTACCAGAGAGTGGGGAGGACGATTCAGCAAGACTGGACTTTGTATTCACCCTGAGTAGTTCAGATATTGAGGACATCACATATGAAAGGCCTTTCAGAGCTAGTGATCCTGTGGTCCTGAGCTTCGAATACATGATAGAGTTACAAGTGAAGAGGGAAGCAAAAACAGTAGGACGAGAGAAGCCAAACTACAAAAGAGGGGACTACACAGGCACGAGGAATTTCCTGCACCAGGTTCAGTGGGAAAGAGAATTGGTGGGAAAATCAGTGAATGAAATGATGCAATATGTGGCAACATGCAAGGATGGAGATGAGAGGTTCATACCCAAGGGCAACAGAAACAATGGGAAGACCAGAATGAGCTCTTGGTTCACCAAAGGTGTAGAGAGGCCAAAAAAGTGTACTAGAGAATGGAAAAAGTATAGAAGACAAAGGACCGAGGAAAATTCCTTAAGGAGATTAGTTGAAGAAACAGAAACAAATATGCACAGAAAAGGAGGGAGGCCCAGCAGCAATACAAAAATGACTTACTATCATAAGCAAAGTCTGACCTGAAGCTATTGCACAGCCACATCTGGAGGAAAAGAACAGCCAAGGACCAGGTAATCAGGCTGAGGAAAGAAGGAAGATCACAAGAAATGACCGAGAAGTATGTGAAGAGCTCAACATGAGATTTAAGTATTTTGAGTGGAGACAGAAAGGACTCCAGAAAGCCAGAATGGTGGGGATACACCAATGTTGCAACCCCTGAATGGTTGCAATGATTATTATGTATATATATATAATTATTACCTTTTCATTTAATTTTATATTGCGGGCTGTGGCTCGTACGTTGGTTTGCGTGCAGCCAGCAGCAACAGCCTGGTTGATCAGGCGCTGATCCACCAGGAGGCCTGGTCACAGACCGGGCCGCGGGGGCGTTGACCCCCGAAACTCTCTCCAGGTAAACTCCAGGTTATATTTGCGATAATAACTAAATCGTAAATGTATTGCTTTATATTGTTATTTGATGTAGTTATGTTGTTAGGTAGGATGTAACATATTATGTGCTCAGTTCAAGTCTTGATTGTCAAACTACTGTAATTATCGCTTGTGGCTCGTTAGACTGCCGGCTTCTGAGCTGCAGTTGTCCATGGAGCTATCACGTGATCGAGGGGGGGGGGTGTCCTCACCTCACGTGAAGTACTCAGTCTGCTGTAGACTCGCTTGGTGGTTGGACAGATTGTCTGTCTCATTATTCTTGTTAGTTCTGTAGAACTCTGTTCACAGAACATTGTATAGACTTAGTGATTTTTGACGTTGTACTGAGGTTGTGTGTCTCTTAGACACTCTGGGTAACTCAGGTCCTGAATTATAGCTTATGACCTAATTTGTACTGGTTTCTGTGTATTATCACAGTCGGGTATTTTCTTATGCTGAACTTAGATTCAGTAGTATGGGAGTTTTGTAACTTTTGTGGAGGATCTGCAGATGGTCCCTACTTAGTGTCGTTATATTATCTCCTTGTTCCTGATTCTGTGTCGCAGTTGCTTGTTGTATTGCTATTGGGCTTAGCATTCTTTTTGTTGTTCAAGCAGATTGTTCTGGTTGCCAGTCGGTCAAGAAGTTAGTTTATGTGAGGACTTTGTCAGTCACTTGTTTAAGTCTAGTCGAGTCGTGAGACATAGAACTACTTAGAGCACTTACACACATACATACTTACTTGTACATATTTGTAATATCTTATTAAATGTTAATGTACCAGACGGTACTTAAGAATTATAAATGTGATATGTGCTTTCAGCACAATAATACTGTAAACGAGAGAAGTGATATTATTTTGATTACTGTGATTAATTTAATTTAATTTAATTTAATAATATACCTCTAGACTTAATAAATTTATTAAATTTTAATTTCTCTAGTTAGTAGCCTACCAGTTGTAATCCTGAAGCACTATTGAATCATACTGAATTTTAATGGATAATTGGACAAGGATACTGACTACTTGTTACGAAAACCCAGTAACAGGCTGGATGCTAGAAGGGCAGTCCTTTCTAGTATTACCTGGAGATCTCTAAGCTTTTAGAATTGCGTTTTTTGTAACACCAACAAGTGCTGGACACAATACACACAACCAAGGAGGAGGAGGTGGAGTGGCTAAGTGAACTAGATACCTCAAAGGTGGTGGGACAAGACATCTCTCTTTGGGTCTTGAGAGAAGGAGCAGAGGTGCAGTGTGTGCCACTAACAACAATCTTCAACAAGTCTATTAAAACAGGGCGACTACCTGAGATGTTGAAGACAGCAAATGAAGTCCCATTTTTTTAAGAAAGGAGACAGGCAGCTACAAGCCAGTGTCAGACATGCATAATATGCAAAGTCATGGAGAAGATTATTGTGATGAAAAAGTTCAACAGATAGGAGTAGCGAGCGAGTATGTGGTAACAATAGTTTGATTGCCGGCTGCTTGTTAAGGTAGGGTAAGTCTAGCTCCCACTATCCCCCCCCCCTTTTCTCCCCACCCCGAAAGGTGACGTGTGGGGCTCCGGCCAAACAGTAATCACTCGACTCACATTATTATTATTATTATAATCAAGGGGGAAGCGCTAAACCCGGAGGATTATACAGCGCCTGGGGGGGATGTGGAAGGCATTCAGGCTTAATTCGGGGAACTGGAGCACAGATCCAATTCCCTAAATCAAGAGCCCCTCACCAACATCAAGGAACCTTCCTTGAGGGGACTCGACTCACAGCTCCCAGCACAACTGTAAGTAAAAGTCTCTGCTCCTATTCTAGTGGATATTGGTTGAAAGCTTCACTTTTGACCAATAATAAACTTAGTCCTTTCAGTTTTAGATACTTTTAGATAATCACCACTTGTTTTAAGTATCTTACACTTATCATGGAGAGTGATTTCTTAAGCAGTGGGTAACCTGTCTCTCTTTCCAGCTTAGAATGACAGATCGGGTCACCTGCCAACCAACGAGAAGTGTTGAAGGAGACGGACTGAATCAGGTCCTGAGTATTCACTGTTTGATCTACCTACCTGATTAAATGTAGTTGAGCACAGGATACTACCCCTCATCTTTGTAGTGGTGAAGAACAGACGTTCCTATCATCTGGATAGACTATTCAAGGCTATAGACTGTGAAGAACTAGTCGTTAGGTTGTCACCAACAACTGTGACCCCCCCACATCATCCTCAACGGCTACAATTTCTACAAGACGGTGTCAACCTCCACCAGACACCACAGTTTACTTGTACATATTAGCGTTGAATTCAAATGGCAATTTTTCATTTCATTTTTCATTTTTCTTTCAAATATGATACACCTTCATTTTTATCTTTGCATTACTAAATAATAAAGTGTTTATCTTTGTGAATTATTTCTTTTTCTATTCATTAATTTTCCTGAGGAGGAGCCAGCCTTGGTAATACTGTCTGAAGTTGTTACAGGGCTGAGTAAGTCTCCACGAACCTACTGAACTTTTACAAGACGATGGAAGTAAGACATGAGAGGGGTGGGTGGATTGTATTTCCTTGTACTGTAAGAAGGCTTTCAGCAAAGTACAAGAAAGTGCAGGTATAATAGGAAAGGAAATATAATGGATAAGAGAATACCTGATAGGAAGTTAACTATGAGTCATGGTACGTGACGAGTTATCAGAGTGAGCGCCTGTGACAAGCGAGGTTCCACAGGGGTTAGTTCTAGGACCGGTGCTGTTTCTGGTATATGTGGATGACATGACGGAAGGGATAGATTCAGAAGTGCCCCTGTTTGCAGACGATGCAAAGTGATCTGGACAGGCTGTAAGCCTGGTCCAAAAACTGGCTCCTGGAGTTTAACTTCCACCAAGTGAAGATCGGGGAAGGGCAAAGAAGAACACAGACGGAGTACAGGCTAGGGGGCCAAAGACTGCAAACCTCACTCAAGGAAAAGGATCTTGGGGTGAGTATAATACCGAGCACATCTCCTGAGGCGCACATCAACCAAATAACTGCTGCAGCATATGGGCGCCTAGCAAACCTGAGAATAGCGTTTTGACACCTTGGTAAAGAATCGTTCAAAATTCTGTACACCGTGTACGTCAGGCCCATACTGGAGTATGCAGCACCAGTTTGGAACCCACACCTGTTCAAGCACGTCACGAAATTATAAAAAGTGCAAAGGTTTGCAACAAGACTAGTCCCGGAGCTAAGGGGTATGTCCTACAAGGAAAGGTTATGGGAAATGAGACGACACTGAAGGACAGAAGGGATAAGGGATGGACATGATAACGATATAAAATACTGAGAGTAATTAATATGGTGGATAGGGACAAGATGTTCCAGAGATGGGACTCAGATGAGTCACAGGGATGTTAGGAAGTATTTCTTCAGTCATAGAGTAGTCAGGAAGTGGAACAGTCTGGAGAGTGATGTAATGGAAGCTGAAACCACATAACTTTAAGAAGAGGCATGATAAAGCTCATGGCTCACGAAATCGTAATGACACGATTGCAAACAAACCATACCACGGATGGGGTTTGAACCCGCGGTCAGAGAGTCTCATGGAGCAGGGAGAGAGAGTGGACCTAGTAGCGACCAGTGAAGAGTTGTGCCCAGAAGCTATGAATCGACCCTTGCAACCCCAATTAGGTGAATACAATTAGGTGAACACACACACTCTGAGAGAAACACTAGGCTCACACACCTCTGGTAGCAATATCAGTACTTTCGACATCTAATCTGATTAAAGCAATGTCGTTAGTAAGGGTGATAATGTTGTAGGGGGCCAGAGAGACACTCTTCACAGTATACTCTCTGTTGTCTTCCCTCAGGTCCCAGGCTCCTGTGATGACCCTCAACTCACTCAACCTACCAGGAAGACACAACAGTAATGTTAGAACATAAGAAGGAACACTGCAGCAGGCCTACTGGTCCATGAGGGACAGGTCCAAGTCTTCTAGTGGCTTAAGCCAATGACCCAACCTAGTCAGGTCAGGTCACATTCACTTAAGTACATCAGACTTAGTAGCACAAGTTAGTCAAGAAGGAAGAGATGCAAGTTCTCTTACTATCTAGTTTGAATATAATGTCTTACATTAAGGTAAGATTCGCCACTAAACAAGTTGATATATTAATTTTGGCACACTGAAGATCAGAATGACTTTGACGTAATCAGTCCCTCAAGATTGGTGAACTGATTACATCGATTTCAGGCTGAGGGACCGATTATCTCAAACTAATTCTGAACTTCAACCATTTTTCTCTGTGGAAATAAATGGTATAAAATACCGACACAATGGAAATATAAACACAAATGCAGTATAATGTGATCCTTTATTGACTACGTTTCGCCCACACAGTGGGCTTTTTCAAGTCACAAACAGAACTACCTGGGGTGGAAGGAACGCGAGTATTTATAGTCCGGTTCAGAATGCTGAGGTCAGGTGAAGAATGCTGCATCTGATGATGTACCGAGTGGGGTTATAGAGTCTAAAAACTTGGGTAGCTTGGAAAGGAGATTGGACAAGTTTGTGAGCAGACCTTCTACAGTGTTCTTATGTGGGATAGCGATGAAGAAGTTTCTTGGCAAGTGGTTCAGCTATGTTATAGAAGCCACTATTCTGGTTGAAGTTGTCGGATATAGAAATAAGTGATGATTCCAGGATTCTTCGGTATTGAGTGTTGTCTTCTGTGGCGATAAGTCTTGAGTTTCTGTAGTTTATCAAGTGGTTGTGTGAATTACGGTGTTGTACGCAGGCATTCCTTGTGTCGTCAGACCTGCTTGCGTATTGGTGTTCTGAAATACGTGTTTGGAGGTCCCTTGATGTTTTCGCCCACGTATAACTTGTTGCAGTCATTACAAGGGATTATGTATACCCCTGCAGAGGATGGAGGCTTGTCCTGTCTACTACTGGTGATGTCCTTGATGTCGTGGTTGTGGAGGTAGATACTTGGAATGATGTTTTGGCAAAGATGTTGGAAACATGTTTGGCAATGGAGTTGGTGGGAAGGACTATGTATCTCTTCTCGGCAGTGTCTTCTCTGGGTGTGTTGAAGATGTTTAATGCCCGCCGTCTGCAGTCTCTGATGAAGTGACGAGGATAGTGGAGTTTAGAAAATATTTGTTCAATTATAGTGCATTCTTCCTAAAGGAACTCGTTGCTGCAGATTCCGAGTGCACGCAGGAAGAAGCCTATAATTACACCACGTTTGGTTTTGGTGTCGTGGTGAGAGTAGAAGTGGAGAAGATCGTTTTGGTTGGTGGGTTTTCGATAGACTTTAAAACGAAGTTCGTGGTCAGCTTTGCAGAGCAGGACATCAAGGAAAGGAAGAGTGTTGTCGACTTCTTCTTCAAGTGTGAACTGGATTGAAGGTTCGACCTGGTTGAGCTTGTCTTGGAGAGCTTGAACGTTGAAGCGTTTAGGAGTTATGAGGAGAATGTCGTCAACATAACGGAGCCAGGTGACAGACGAAGGAATAATGGTGGAGAAACGTTCGGCTTCTAGATGTTCCATGTATAGGTTCGCCAGGACTGCACTGAGTGGCCCAAAAGTCTGCTGAAAGAGGTGATTTTCAAAAGAGAAACACGTAAAGCCAACACATAGTTCAACAAGGTCGATGAAATCGCTGGCTGGAATGGGAAGATCAAGTGAATCGTCAATTTTCCTGCGCAAGAGATCGATGGCTTGTGTAGTAGGTACTTTGGTGAACATCAGGGTCACCACCGCTGATAAAGGGGGTGGTGTCGTTATCATGAACACTGACGATTACAGGAACAAAATGCTCAATCTACTTAATGACCCAGATACCTACAAACCTCTCACAACTAACCAAGTGGACAACCTTACTAAAACTTTTCTTCAAAGGCCTCGCCGCATTCTGAGGGGCTCAGAACAAGGGAAGAAACTTCTGCACACCATGCCCAGCAACCCCAGACCTGCCAGAATGTACGGCCTGCCAAAAACTCACAAGCCTGGTATCCCACTGAGGCCCATATCCTCGGGAATAGGCAGTGCTCCCCACCAGCTCTCAGGAATTCTCGCCAAACACCTCTCTAAACTCTTGGGCACTATCAGTCCAGCACATCTCAAACACTCAGGTGATCTTCTCAATCGCATTCGCAACATCAACATCAGGAACAAGAAACTTTCCAGCCTTGACGTGACTTCCCTGTTCACCAAAGTACCTACTACACAAGCCATCGATCTCTTGCGCAGGAAAATTGACGATTCACTTGATCTTCCCATGTGCTGAATAATATTAGGAGAGAAGTAAATAATGAAGATGATTGTTATAGGAATGCAGTTAGAAGCCTGAGTAGATCTATAACCCATTATGATAACATGAACGTAGATAAGTATGTTTATGGAGCAACTTGCAATGTGAACAGACTGACTGATGTTGTAGTGGCCAGGCTTAGGCTTGGTTACAAGTACTTCTGGCAGTTTGGGAGACACACAGATGATGATCAAACTAAATGTAAATTATGTGATCAGGCATGTGGTCACTCTCTTGAACACTATGTGCTTAATTGTCCACTTATTGAGGAATACAGAGACAGACAGTATAATAACCTATGTGACATGTCAAGATATCTTATTAATGAAAATAAGATACCAGATATACTAAGCAAATTTCCTAAATTTGCTTGTAACAGATAAGTGAACTATAGATATGTAGATATAAATCCATATGTATTCCTGTTAACCCTTTGGGGCCTAGTTCCTAGGCCTTTTGTGTATCCACATGCTCTCGCGCTACCGTCCACAGGATGGATATGGGGTGCACAATAAACTAGCCACTTCGGTGGCAAAATCTAATCTAATCTTCCCATTCCAGCCAGCGATTTCATCGACCTTGTTGAACTATGTGTTGGCTTTACGTGTTTCTCTTTTGAAAATCACCTCTTTCAGCAGACTTTTGGACTACCCATGGGTTCGCCACTCAGTGCAGTCCTGGCGAACCTATACATGGAACATCTAGAAGCCGAACGTTTCTCCACCATTATTCCTTCGTCTGTCACCTGGCTCCGTTATGTTGACGACATTCTCCTCATAACTCCTAAACGCTTCAACGTTCAAGCTCTCCAAGACAAGCTCAACCAGGTCGAACCTTCAATCCAGTTCACACTTGAAGAAGTCGACAACACTCTTCCTTTCCTTGATGTCCTGCTCTGCAAAGCTGACCACGAACTTCGTTTTAAAGTCTATCGAAAACCCACCAACCAAAACGATCTTCTCCACTTCTACTCTCACCACGACACCAAAACCAAACGTGGTGTAATTATAGGCTTCTTCCTGCGTGCACTCAGAATCTGCAGCAACGAGTTCCTTGAGGAAGAATGCACTATAATTGAACAAATATTTTCTAAACTCCACTATCCTCGTCACTTCATCAGAGACTGCAGACGGCGGGCATTAAACATCTTCAACACACCCAGAGAAGACACTGCCGAGAAGAGATACATAGTCCTTCCCACCAACTCATTGCCAAACATGTTTCCAACATCTTTGCCAAAACATCATTCCAAGTATCTACCTCCACAACCACGACCATCAAGGACATCACCAGTAGTAGACAGGACAAGCTTCCATCCTCTGCAGGGGTATACATAATCCCTTGTAATGACTGCAACAAGTTATACGTGGGCGAAACATCAAGGGACCTCCAAACACGTATTTCAGAACACCAATACGCAAGCAGGTCTGACGACACAAGGAATGCCTGCGTACAACACCGTAATTCACACAACCACTTGATAAACTACAGAAACTCAAGACTTATCGCCACAGAAGACAACACTCAATACCGAAGAATCCTGGAATCATCACTTATTTCTATATCCGACAACTTCAACCAGAATAGTGGCTTCTATAACATAGCTGAACCACTTGCCAAGAAACTTCTTCATCGCTATCCCACATAAGAACACTGTAGAAGGTCTGCTCACAAACTTGTCCAATCTCCTTTCCAAGCTACCCAAGTTTTTAGACTCTATAACCCCACTCGGTACATCATCAGATGCAGCATTCTTCACCTGACCTCAGCATTCTGAACCGGACTATAAATACTCGCGTTCCTTCCACCCCAGGTAGTTCTGTTTGTGACTTGAAAAAGCCCACTGTGTGGGCGAAACGTAGTCAATAAAGGATCACATTATACTGCATTTGTGTTTATATTTCCATTTTTCTCTGTACTGGACTGATGAAGCCAGTGTGTGGTGAAACTTTTCCATAATATTTATACCCAAATGTTGCACAAGTGTCTAAATTATCAACTTAACGGTTCTCTGAACCAATTTATCAACAAGTCAAGTGTTTACTGACGAGGGACTAAGACCTTCCACTGGCTTACCCCTCCAAGTAACATGTTGACGTTATAAATAAAAATCAATCAAGGCATATTAAAAATAAGAACCCAATTATAGGTGGAAATTAAACAGGGTGTTTCAAAAATACACCCAATTTCGAGGCCTTGTTATTGTCGCCCGTGTCTGGTACACGTATGGTTACGGTATACCTGTCTAATACCCTATGACCACCCATACATCCCTACTACTCACTCCCACCCATTCTCACTCCATTGAAGACATGAGGGAGAGAGGGAGAGAGGAGGACGGAGGGGTGAGGAAGAGAAAAAAGACAGGAGAGAGGGAAAGAGGGGTAGAGAGGAAGAGAATGAGAGGAAGACAGGGTAAGAGGGGGAGGGGGAGGGGAGAGAGAGAGAGAGAGAGAGAGAGAGAAAGATCATCTGAAATAACGTAAGTTGATCAAATGAAAATGCTGGCCCACAGATGGCTCCAACTTCATCCTGTTCCCTACTTGTATGTCTCATAACAATAAAAAGGAACTTTTAAATGAGTTGATGTAAGTAACAGCTCTTAGCTTGTCAATAAAGTTAGGAATCCTTAACCTAACCTTGTCAAACCCTGTGTAAAAATAATCTTTGTATGTTTAGTTATGTCGTCAATACACTGGACTAGGTCAGTTTAATTGGACGTTTGTCCATGTCCATTAGTCGATCAATTAAGCAGACTACATCTGCTTAATTGAAGCGTTCAATATAAAGGAATTTTCAGTAAGACAACCACTTCTCTTATTGGTCTGTTTGATAAGACATTACTCTAGTGTCATATCATCTGTGGACAGAGAACCTTTGTGTTCCTTCAGTCATGTTATTTAAGTATAAAAGAATTAATACCGGTCCTAGTACTTATCCTTGTGGAACACCACTCGTCACATGCACCCATTCTGACACCTTGTTATAGACAATCACTTATTATTTCCTTCCTGTTGGGTATTCCTTGATCCACTGCTGTGCTTTTCCTGTTATTAATTCCTGTTCCAGTAGCTTTTGTACCAGTCTCTTGTGCGGTACTGTGCTAAAAGCCTTACAACAGTCTAGGAAGATGCAGTCTACCCATCCCTCTTTCTCCTATTTTACTTCTGTTATTAGCCATACCACGGGTGGGGTTAGAACCCGCGATCAGAGAGTCATAAAACTCCAGACCGACGCTTTAGCCACTGGGCCAACTGGCTTCAATGAGATTCATCCAACTAGGTATATTTATACACGATAGGAAGGTGTAGAAATATGTCTAATTGGATGAATCATATTGCAGCCTGCTGTCCCAGTGGCTAACGCGTCGGTTTGGAGTTTCATGACTCTCTGACCGCGGGTTCTAACCCCATACTTCTGTTACCTAGCCGAAGAAATTCAATAGGTTTGTGACACAGGATTTACCATCTCTAAATCCAAGCTGGTGGGTATGTTTGTGTACAGGACTCACGTGATATTCCTGGCACAATGGGCGGCGGTAACAACGAAAGCATCAGAGATGAGTGTCCCTCCACAGAAGTGTCGACCATTCAGTTGCAGTGACACTTGCCACGGCAGCTCACCTGCCACGGAACACAAGCAACAATGTTAGTAACATTCATACTATCTTGAAAATGGTATAAAAATACCGACAAGTTGAAGATTAAGACACATGTGCAACAGTTGGGTGTCTTCAGTGTTGAAACGTTTCTCCCACACAGTAGACTTCTTCAGTCAAATACAGATTCAACAGGTACTGGGAGAAGCAGTATCTCAGGTGGTCAGTCCCTCAACCCGGCCGATGCATATATATTAAGGACCCCAATGAAAATAAGGACCCCAATGAAAATAAGGACCCCATTGGAAATAAGGACCCATTGGAAATAAGGACCCCATTGGAAATAAGGACCCCAATGGAAATAAGGACCCCAATGGAAATAAGGACCCCAATGGAAATAAGGACCCCAATGGAAATAAGGACCCCAATGGAAATAAGTAAGGACCCCCAATGGAAATAAGTAGGAACCCCAATGGAAATAAGATAAGGACCCCAATGGAAATAAGATAAGGACCCCAATGGAAATAAGGACCCCAATGGAAATAAGGACCCCAATGGAAATAAGGACTCCAATGGAAATAAGGACCCCAATGGAAATAAGGACTCCAATGGAAATAAGGACCCCAATGGAAATAAGGACTCCAATGGAAATAAGGACCCCAATGGAAATAAGGACTCCAATGGAAATAAGGACTCCAATGGAAATAAGGACTCCAATGGAAATAAGGACCCCAATGGAAATAAGGACCCCAATGGAAATAAGGACTCCAATGGAAATAAGGACCCCAATGGAAATAAGGACCCCAATGGAAATAAGGACCCCATTGGAAATAAGGACTCCAATGGAAATAAGGACCCCAATGGAAATAAGGACCCCAATGGAAATAAGGACTCCAATGGAAATAAGGACCCCAATGGAAATAAGGACCCCAATGGAAATAAGGACCCCAATGGAAATAAGGACTCCAATGGAAATAAGGAATCCAATGGAAATAAGGACTCCAATGGAAATAAGGACTCCAATGGAAATAAGGACCCAATGGAAATAAGGACTCCAATGGAAATAAGGACCCAATGGAAATAAGGACTCCAATGGAAATAAGGACCCCAATGGAAATAAGGACTCCAATGGAAATAAGGACCCCAATGGAAATAAGGACTCCAATGGAAATAAGGACCCCAATGGAAATAAGGACTCCAATGGAAATAATGACCCCAATGGAAATAAGGACCCCAATGGAAATAAGGACTCCAATGGAAATAAGGACCCCAATGGAAATAAGGACTCCAAGGGAAATAAGGACCCCAATGGAAATAAGGACCCCAATGGAAATAAGGACCCCAATGGAAATAAGGACCCAATGGAAATAAGGACCCCAATGGAAATAAGGACCCCAATGGAAATAAGGACCCCAATGGAAATAAGGACCCCAATGGAAATAAGGACCCCAATGGAAATAAGGACCCCAATGGAAATAAGGACCCCAATGGAAATAAGGACCCCAATGGAAATAAGGACCCCAATGGAAATAAGGACCCCAATGGAAATAAGGACCCCAATGGAAATAAGGGCCCCAATGGAAATAATGACCCCAATGGAAATAAGGGCACCAATGGAAATAAGGACACCAATGGAAATAAGGACCCCAATGGAATAAGGACCCCAATGGAAATAAGGACCCCAATGGAAATAAGGACTCCAATGGAAATAAGGACCCCAATGGAAATAAGAACCCCAATGGAAATAAGGACCCCAATGGAAATAAGGACCCCAATGGAAATAAGGACCCCAATGGAAATAAGGACCCCAATGGAAATAAGGACCCCAATGGAAATAAGGACCCCAATGGAAATAAGGACCCCAATGGAAATAAGGACCCCAATGGAAATAAGGACCCCAATGGAAATAAGAATAGGTTTGAATTTGTTTCGTACTCCAATTTAGTTTTTAGTTTCTCAAGTTTTCCATAGTGGAGTAATTGAAATTTATCCTCATTAAACTTCAAGTGTTTTCCGTGACCCATTTGAAAGCTTAGTTTATACCCAATTGAAAATTTTCAGAGTTCTGTACAGATGACTCAAGCAACTTCTAGTATCGTCAGTAAAGGAAGACACAGTGAAACAGGTTACATACCTGTCTATGTCAGATATGAGTACGAGACAGAGGATGGGAGCGAGTACTGTGCTTTGTGGAAAAGAACTTTTCTCTGTAGCCGCCTCTGGTTGAACTCTGTTTACTATTGTTCTTCGTGTTCTGAATATCGAAATGGTATACAATACCGACAGGTTAGTAGGTAAGACACATAGGCAACAGATAGGCAACTTTATTCCGAGACGCTTCGCCTACGCAGTAGGCTTCTTCAGTCGAGTACCTACCAACCTGTCGGTATTGTATACCATTTTGATATTCACTCTGTCAGACACTGCAGCATAATGGCATCTTGGTACAGAAAACACCTTGGACAACCTTTTCAAGTGAGAATTGTTGGATCTGAGAGGGACGTGACCTCTCAGTGGCTACATTCTCACTACTACTACTACTCTGCACCTCTCCTTCCGACAGTATTTAAGTCTCCGCACTGTCGCTTGATCTTCAGATAGTTCCTGACTATGGAACAGAACTTCTCCAGGCTGAGGGACTGACAACCTCAAATCTACGACTTCAAGGGTGATGGACTGATTACATCGTGTTCACTTCTCTACTGTTCCTGACTACTTTTTGTATTCGACTGAAGAAGCCTACTGTGTAGGCGAAACATTTCGGAATAAAGTTGCCTATATGTCTTACCTTTGTGTTCTGTTGGTTAGTAAGTTAAAGATTCATATACCCAATTTTCAAGCATTTTGTGCTATTACACCATGATCACACTTGTTGAAGACTTTAGCAAACTGTGTGTAAACTATATCTGCATTTTGTTGGTCCAGTAGTTGTGAGAGGCAGAAGAGTCCTGCTCAAAAGCTATGCTGCCCTTGGTTGTGCAATTTTTGGATGTCTGGGTGATTGGGATCGTACTTCTTAGAATCCTTTAAAAGATTTTTATGATGTGGTCTAAAAAACTATTACCAGGCAGGTGATGTTATATATCCTCTCATGCACCGACCAACGTAAGATATTACAATATTTAGACCTCCCAGAACAAACATTTCCTTGGTCGGTACTTTGACCAACACTCGTAGGAACAAGTCTCCTCCACCCTGACATGTTTGTAAACATTACTCTTGTTTTGCCAAGTATGAACACAATATACATATTTTTGTATTATATTAGCAATTGACGTCCACGTGGGAAAAGAATCTTTAATAAACAAAGTTTGGGGATTGGAAGGTAATCATATTTAATCCAAGGATAGACGGGATAGTCAATTAATTTTGAGTCTTTCCCAAGCATCAAAAAACTCATAAGGCATCATATATATTTTTCTTGTAATCTATTTTTCAGTAAATTTCAGTTATCAAGAGTGGTTTCATTTCTAGTTTCCTGCGTTTCACACTAACACATTTATTCTGTTGTGTTGTAAAGTGGAATCTGTGTCCTGTGTTAAGATAGTTCCTACGTAACTTGCCTCTCTCCTGTGTTAAGATAGTTCCTACGTCACTTGCCTCTCTCCTGTGTTAAGATAGTTCCTACGTCACTTGCCTCTGTCCTGTGTTAAGATAGTTCCTACGTCACTTGCCTCTCTCCTGTGTTAAGATAGTTCCTACGTCACTTGCCTCTCTCCTGTGTTAAGATAGTTCCTACGTAACTTGCCTCTCTCCTGTGTTAAGATAGTTCCTACGTCACTTGCCTCTCTCCTGTGTTAAGATAGTTCCTACGTCACTTGCCTCTGTCCTGTGTTAAGATAGTTCCTACGTCACTTGCCTCTCTCCTGTGTTAAGATAGTTCCTACGTCACTTGCCTCTCTCCTGTGTTAAGATAGTTCCTACGTAACTTGCCTCTCTCCTGTGTTAAGATAGTTCCTACGTCACTTGCCTCTGTCCTGTGTTAAGATAGTTCCTACGTCACTTGCCTCTGTCCTGTGTTAAGATAGTTCCTACGTCACTTGCCTCTGTCCTGTGTTAAGACAGTTCCTACGTCACTTGCCTCTCTCCTGTGCTAAGATAGTTCCTACGTCACTTGCCTCTCTCCTGTGCTAAGATAGTTCCTACGTCACTTGCCTCTCTCCTGTGCTAAGATAGTTCCTACGTCACTTGCCTCTCTCCTGTGCTAAGATAGTTCCTACGTCACTTGCCTCTCTCCTGTGCTAAGATAGTTCCTACGTCACTTGCCTCTGTCCTGTGTTAAGACAGTTCCTACGTCACTTGCCTCTCTCCTGTGCTAAGATAGTTCCTACGTCACTTGCCTCTCTCCTGTGCTAAGATAGTTCCTACGTCACTTGCCTCTGTCCTGTGTTAAGACAGTTCCTACGTCACTTGCCTCTCTCCTGTGCTAAGATAGTTCCTACGTCACTTGCCTCTGTCCTGTGTTAAGACAGTTCCTACGTCACTTGCCTCTGTCCTGTGCTAAGATAGTTCCTACGTCACTTGCCTCTGTCCTGTGTTAAGACAGTTCCTACGTCACTTGCCTCTCTCCTGTGCTAAGATAGTTCCTACGTCACTTGCCTCTGTCCTGTGTTAAGACAGTTCCTACGTCACTTGCCTCTGTCCTGTGCTAAGATAGTTCCTACGTCACTTGCCTCTGTCCTGTGTTAAGACAGTTCCTACGTCACTTGCCTCTGTCCTGTGCTAAGATAGTTCCTACGTCACTTGCCTCTGTCCTGTGTTAAGACAGTTCCTACGTCACTTGCCTCTCTCCTGTGCTAAGATAGTTCCTACGTCACTTGCCTCTGTCCTGTGTTAAGACAGTTCCTACGTCACTTGCCTCTCTCCTGTGCTAAGATAGTTCCTACGTCACTTGCCTCTGTCCTGTGTTAAGACAGTTCCTACGTCACTTGCCTCTCTCCTGTGCTAAGATAGTTCCTACGTCACTTGCCTCTCTCCTGTGCTAAGATAGTTCCTACGTCACTTGCCTCTGTCCTGTGTTAAGAC